TTTACCAAAATAAAGGCTGATGATGCAAAGGTGAATTTTACAATTATTATATTTTTTTCTTTATGTTTTATTATGTATGTAAACAATAATGATCAGACATTTTAAATCAGTATCACTGACCTTCAATTGGAAAATAAGTACAATATAATTTGGTCTATCGATATGATTGACTCACTATTATATGATTGTCACACTATTAAAAGAATTCTGTAAATGAATAGTGAATTGGTAACTGGTTGAATGGGGAAGGAGCTAGCTGGGACGGGACTGGGTGGGTTGAAGTACGGATATTTTCAGTTGATAAGTGGAGCTGGCTGTTTAAAGTTCACTCTCAAAAACATTACCTGAAAGTTAGTGATTAAAGTTCTGGATGCACTGTTAAAATGTGATTTTATTTAGCTTGTTTGATTTTTGTAGTTTTATTTGTGCTGTTTGTACAGTTGCAGGCGGCCTGTGGTTGCACTACCTATTAGCTATGCCTCAGAGGAGATTTTTTATTAAATATGGAAACTGTAAATAAACCTTTTTTATATCTAAAGTCAATGAGATGTAATATCAGTATTTTTAAAACTCAACAAAATCCAGCTGAGTTTTCAGGCATGAATCTTTTTTTCACAGCACATTCTCTCAGCCTGATTGAAAAAGGGGAGGATTTTTAGAAAAAACATGAGCGACGGTAACATTTGCGAATTATATATTGATGTTATTCTGAGTGCAAAAGGGAGAAAAGACATTGGTGATTTACAAAACCTTCTATTTAATCAGACAATTAAAAACAAATATGTCATATATTCTGTTTTTTTTTATTAATACCAAAGTTTCTCCTCTAGCTAAGCTTCTTTTTCTAAATGAAGCCGTTCATATTTTAAGAAGAATTAGAGCAGATATCTAAGGAGAGAAAACTAATTAATTTCAAGCAAGTTCAGCATAAAATCATCATTAGATCGAGAGTTGAGGACGTGATATCGCTGCCTGCTTTCTTTTCCTCATGACATCACTCAGTATGAGAAGTTATTTATGCTGATTTTCTTTATTACCACACTACAACTTTTCTATTACCCCTTTTTAATGTAAACGCCCCTATACAAATCCACTGCAACCAGTTTCCTTTAAAGGGCAAATAATTAGTAAATATTTAAACTCATTATAAATAAAACTGCACTATAAAGAACCAACTAAAAAAATCCAATACCAAGACATGGTAATTACATCTCTGGAGGAGCTGCAGGGATCAAAGGCTCAGGTGAGAGAATTTGTTGTTTGTTTTGATACAACAGGCCATAAGAAATGTTATGAATTTACAAAGATTTTCCAGAAGAAATTAAACAGAGTACAGGTTTTTATAACAAAACTCTATACACCTTTCTCCGTAATGAAAGTGAAACAGACGTAAATTTCTGTGCTGCTTCAATGTGCAAAGGAAGGTTGTTCTGCTTTTTTTTGGTTCAACTGCCTGAAAAAACCACCAAATAAAATAATAATTTTAAACACACCGTTCATATTGTGTAGACTGCAGGTGGCAGCATGATGCTGCCATCTTCAGCATGGTCAGAGTTGAGAAGGAGATGGGAGGAGATGGGAAGTTACAGGTCTGGAGGAAAACCTCTACAGGCTGCCAAGCATATGAGACACGGCTGGAGGTTCAGCTTTAAGCATTATTATAAATATAAAGGAGAGATAAAATCAAATGATTTAGATCATTGTTAACATGTAGGACAAACAGAATCAACTAGTAAGGGCCTCAAAAATTAGATTCTTTTTTTTTTTTCTAAAATAAACAATACAATTATTGTGAATGTAATATTTTTTTACAATTAATAAACTAATTTGTTGAGCTTTTTTTTTAAATTGCTTTGCATTCAGTTCAGAAGACAGAAAACATTGCTGACTGAAAAAAGTTAAATATTTTTACATGTTTAATCAACAGAAATAATGACTTTACACCTTCCAGATTTTGGTGGTTTATTGTTTTTCCAGTTGTCTTACTCTTAATTCTTTTGTTTGTTTGTTTGTTTTTTGTTTTTGTTTTTTAGTTCATTTGCAGCTATAATAATATGGGAAACTGTCATTCATCTTTGCAAAATGCATGTGTAATTTGGTTTTTAAGTTTTATTCATGTTACTTAATGTTAGTGGAAAGTGCTAACATGTTTTTAAAATGCAGATTGTGTTGTAACCAGGATTTAAATTGCCCAGACAAATTTACGACAAAAATCAAATTTAGAATCTTGGCAAAGAATTGACAAATAATGTTTAAACAGGGAGAGCATAGAAGAACGCTGTTGGGACTATATATATCCTTCATAATGAGCTTGTGGATGGTGGCCGGGGGTGCAGGAGGTCCAGGTTTCTCCCCAATCTTGGATACGTCGAAAACAGTGGATGGATGAACCTCTTCAAACTGCAGCGTTACTCATGTTATCAAACGAGAAAAACTCCTCGCTTCACTTACTTACCTTCTGCTAAGAAAAATCTTTTTACGGCTTAATTGTTTTTTTTTTCTGGAACAACAGATGTAGGACTCATTCTTGCATCTGAAGCTATTCTAATAAGCCTTTTTTAAAGTAGTGCTTTACTTCTATAGAGATTTCATTGGGTCATTAGAAAAGAATACATGTCAGGTTTGCTGCTCATCAAAGCTTCATGTGTTTGTTTCACCCAGTAACAACAAGACAAGTGTATAGAAGAAGCTATATATAAATAAACAAGGAGAAAGCCTTTTGAAACTAAACTCAAAAGTTTGATGCAGCTTCCCTGTCCATGATGCCTTTGAAAAATGGGCAGGCTGCTGAGAAGAAAAAGGTAAATAAATAAATAATAATAATAAAAAGCACAGAGAACATAAATTATTAATATTAGACTGAAAACTGATGTTGGAGATGCTTTCTCGTCTTCCTCTCAGCGCTCCCCCTGCTTTGTTTCAAAACTCTGGATGTATTTTTGGGCAGACGGCTGAGATATTCCTTTGTTTTCTATCCTCACTACTCTCATTGTCTCTCCCATTAACAATGTAATTGTGCAGATGCTGCTCCTGAGCCATATCTACTGTCTGAAAGTGTTTCTGATGCTGAGGAAAGTTTACTCTCCATCAGCACAACGGAGCACCCAAATGAAGAAGAGCGGCTCGGATGAGAAGAGGTGCTTTGGTGTAAAAGCTTGGGGGACTTTTATCAGTCGTCATTCCACTAAAAAAAAAATCTCACTGGAAAGTTGTGCACAATTTAAAGTTTATAAGCAATGAATCCAAAAAGTTGAATCACGTGGACGTCTTTTCATGGATGCTCCTCATATCTTTACTCATGTAAGGTCTCAGAACTCGGGACATCTTAAACACCTGAAGTATTTTTTTTTTTTTATTCATGAAAGGAATTTCTTCTCCTGCCAAGAATTTTCTCAAATTAAAGTATTTCAACGACTGAAATGATCAAAATCTGCAGAGTGAACTGCACCTATCGATCACCGCATCCCAAGGTGGAATGCTTCTTTCAGATTGGCAGATAAAAAGTAAATGGAGTTAAAATTACAAAGTTTCTGCGTCTTTGTTTCTTCCTTTTTTTACACCTCAGGCTTTGATGATTGGAATGACACAAATGGAGATGCTAAAAAAAATAAATAAATAAATAACTGCTGGACTAAGAAAAAGAATGTGAGTAAACAAAAATAATTAAAACAATTATAACAAAGTTTAAGAAAGAGAAAAGCTCAAAATCTTTCTTCAAGTGTATATGTAAAACATAAAAGAAACAAATTACCAATAAAACTTTATTTTGTGAAATAAAGATGAAATTTGAAATTGATGTCAGATTTTTCAGCGTTGTTAAGTGACAGACAAATAAAAATAAATCAACACTAAAGGAAAAGGTGTTCTGGCAGCACGAAAAAAATATTTTTCATTCCTATATCTTTATTAAATTATAATCTACCTCATTTGATTTTATTCTCAATAACATTTTTTGATTAGAAAAACTAAATAAGTTAGTAACTAACTCAAATGTATTTGTATAGTAGGTTTTCAGACAGGATGCCAGAAAGTGCTCCAGGATATGGTAACAGAATAGAAAAAACCACAGAATGCAGAACAGAAAAGTGTAAATAGCAGAAAGGAAAAGGCACAGGCAACATCTTCGCTCCTAATAATTAAAGAATTTGAAATATATATATTTTTTTCTATACTAACCAGAAAAAAAATTAACCAGTTGGAATCAACAGTTGAAACAAATAGAAACACATTAATTCTGACATAACCTGAGAGAATAAAGGTATTTTTCTATGCAAAAGACACATAGAATATAGATAGTTCTCACAGAACTAGACAAGTTTCAGATATTCAACTTGTCACTTACTCTCTACATTTGAAATAATACATTTAAAATAACTACCTATGAGACTCTGACATCAGTCAGGAAAGTTTGCAACACTCCTTCCTTTCAGCTTTCAGGTTTCTAACATGAACAGCTTGATTCAAATCACCTCACTTCATCTCTTTGTGACCAAAGCTTGGTGTCTGACTCGTCCCAGGACTTTTTCTTTTTCTGCTGGTTTTTAGTCGTTTTTGTTTTGGCCAGGTCTCCCTACAAAACATCACACTTCCACCTTCATGCTTCAGAGTTGGAAATTTTTTTTTTTTTGGTACTGTTTATGCTAAACATGATTATTGTGCTAGTACCTCCCCAAAGGTTGGTAAACATGATTCCAGAAGTCTTACGTTCATTTATCCTAAAGTTTACCTGCTGCAGGCATCATTTTCTATATCAACAGATGGACCTGCTGTAGGTCCTATCAAGGGTGTAATTTTGTGATGAAAGTTGGTGGGGACACTCAGGTGGTGGCTGATGGACCTACAGTTACTCAACCCAAACGCTTTCATTAGGTTTTCTTATTTTGCTAAATGAGCTCAAACATAACGAATAACAGC